GGGCGGGAAAACACCCTAGCCCGGGGGGGGGAGGGTGTGGTGTAGCCGGAACCGCGCCCTCCCCCCCCCCCCCGGGAAAAAAAAAAAAAACCTTGCCCCAAAAAAAAAAAAAAAAAAAAAAAAAAGATATAGAAGGTGAGGGAAGTGGCCAGAAGTGCGACCTTGTTTTTAAAATTTGTTTATAAAGTGGAATAGTGAAATGGGTCGGTAGGGCTAATGGGGATCAGAGAAGGGAGGAAAAAGGGCATGCTTGCATACTGACAGGTGCAATACCATAAGACAAAGGATGGATGCTTGCCAACCTTCATAAAGACGTACAGACAGAAAAGGAATAAATTGAGTATTGACAGTGAGATAGGAAGCACTATTCTACCAGAGAGAAGGATATTGTCAGGGTTTTCTTCCTGTTTCCCCTAAAGAACATGGAATCAAGGTCTTGTAATACCCTTTTAGCTAGAGATGATAGGGACCATCTATGTTTTAAACAAGTTTTAGCTGCAAATTTTTAACAGTGTTTATTCCTCATTACAAAATAGTATTTATAACTTTATCTTTAGAAATTATATATGTTACTGTTGAAAATATTCAGTCCTATATTAATGTAAGGGGATAAGGTGATACTTACACAGTGTACATTACCTTTGCCAGATTGGCGCCAGTTGCCCATGATGCTACAGGAGAAAGCTCTAGCGGGAAGCTGTGTGGGGCAGGGATGTTTGTTATTCTGAAACAGTTGTTTCTGTCCTAAAGTTGTCTGGGAGACAGTTTCCCTCCTTTCTGTGGCACACTGATCCTTGTTAGGATCCAGCCATATCCGTGTTTTCTTCTGTACATTCTTGTTGCATGTTTCAGAGTACCTGTCTCAGAATGTAATTGCAGATCTGAGACTTGCCACGTGCACCCTCACCTTGACCTGAGCCTTAGGTTGCTTTCCCCCCAGGTAGGCTCAGTTTGGGTTGGTCAGCACTTTCGGTAGGCTAGCCCTGCCCTTATTAACTTTGAAGATTTTTTTTTTTCTTTTTTTGTTTTATTTTTTACTTTGAAGATTTTTCCTTCAGTTTTACATTTCTCTGTTTCATTGGGAATTTGGGAGAGGTGTGAGCTAAATGATGAATTTAGACCATCATGTCACGCCACCAAATTTATCATTGTTCTTTAATTGTTTTTATATACATTCCATTTATTCGTGTCAAAATAGAGGGACAGTTTTTCAGAAATTAGGTGGTGTCAGTTTAAGGGCTCTCTGTATAAAACTGAATGCTTTTAGAGCTGACAGCAGGTAAGAAAAGAAGTCCCTGGGGTTTTCAGCAAAAGAATGATGCCAGACCACAGTTGTGACATGATTAGTCTGGCTGCTGTGGTGACACAACAGTTTGTAAGGAGACGAGAAGAAGCAGAGACCACTTAGGAGGTTATTTTAATAAGCCCATTGGCTTGGACTAGGCTATAATGAGGCGGTGGGGAGAATGGATTTGTTTCTGGATGTACTCTTGAAGGTAAAACCAAAAGATTTTGCTGATGGCTTGATTGTGGGGATGAGGGAAGGACAGTAATCAAGGAAAACATCCAAGTTTTGACCTGTGGAGCTGCCATTTGCTGTGATAGGCGTGACTGAAGGAGGAGCAGGTTTTGAGGGGAAATTTGGACATGGCTGAATTTGAAATACCTAGTAGGTATCTAAGCAGAGATGCAAATGAGATGTCCAAGTAAAGCGGGTAGTTAGACATAGAAGTCTGGAGTGTAGGAAAAAGGTCTGGGTTAAAGATAGAGAATTTGCTGTATAGAAAAAATTTTAGAAATATTTCTTTTTAAAAACAGAATTGAGTTACAAGGCTAAGATTTTCAAAATTTTCTGTGTCAACTCTCTTGTTGATATGGAGATGGTGGATACAGAGATCCAACTAATTTGAAAATCACTTTACTTCTCTGCCATGCAACCAAGCTATGGTCAGGAAGATTACCTCAGGTAATCTCACAGGGATTATGGCATATTTATTTAAATGATTCTTTAGAGTTCTGCTGAAGTTTATGCTAGATCCTGTCAATTTGCATTTGATTGCTCTCCCTATCCCCTACTCCCAGCCTCCTATTTATAGGAAATAATTTTTATCAGCAGATAAATATATAGTTTGTGACTGGGTGCGGTGGCTCACGCTTGTAATCCCAACACTTTGGGAGACTGAGGCCGGTGAATCACTTAAGGTCAGAAGTTCAAGACCAGCCTAGGCAACATGCTGAAACCTATCTCTGCTCAAAATGCAAAAATTAGCTGAGAGTGGTGGTGCACGCCTGTAACCCCAGCTATTCTGGAAGCTGAGGTGGGAGAATCGAGAATCTCTTGAGCTTGGGAGGCAAAGGTTACAGTGAGCCTAGATCATGCCACTGTACTCCCATCTGGGTGACAGAGCAAGACCCTATCTGGAAAAAAAAAGAGAGAGAGAGAAGAGAGGGGAGAAAGAGAGAGAAAAAAGAGTAGTGAGCCAAGCTTGCGCCGTGGCACTCCAGCCTGGGTGACATAGCAAGACCCTGTGTCACAATAAAAATAAAATAAAGAAAAGAAATACACTTAACTTTTACTTTTTTTATTTGAATTTTTATTTTGTTTTACACGTGCCCTTGAATATTCATTTATAGCGAATAGCCTGTTGTTCGATAGAAATGTTTCAGGTTATATTAACTCCTGGACAGAAATAAACTTGTTTCATTGACTCTCAAGTATTGGGCTTAAAGAAGGAGGAAAAAGGAAAAACCTGAACAAGGAGCCACTGAGAATATTTGCATCTGCGTAGGGAACTTTTAAAAGGGTTTCTCTTGAAGGTATGGACCTCTTTTGCTCCAGCCACCCTGCAGAGTTGAGGGATGTAACTTGTAACCTTCATCCTAGACTGTGTGGATTGATTGGCACTTCTCTTTACAGATTTGCCAGAAACAAAAGTAGTTCCAACCATCTCTTGTTTAAATTGGAGGTAATCTCTTACTCTCTTGGATGTCAGTGGCAGTTGTTGTGATAGGTCTTTACGCATATTGCACAAAGGTGAGGTCCCCCAGTTGCTGCTAACTGCGCTTCCTCCCCACTCCCCACTGCCTGGTCAGTATACAGAGTGGTGAGAGGTTCTGCTGGACAGGTGCCACACACTTCTCTAGACTCGAATCCAGCAACTCTCTCCATTGCTTTGGATCATTTCCACACTTTATTCAGAGCCAGGAGCTGTTCCTTCTTTACAGTGATTGGTTTAAGCAGGTGCTGCGGTTGTTTCTTAGTCCCTAGCACCAGGGAAAGGGGAGTGAAGTTATCTGTTGGCTGCATTTTAGACAGCAGGGAATGTGTGGGATTACTTTGAAGCTCTGGTTGGCATTGGAAGCAGAAAAGTATTGGGGAAATAAGGTTAGCATGTGTTACGCAAGCTAAGGGAATACTGAACCTTTTTCCTACATTCTACTGAGTTGACATGGCCCCATCGTCTTAGGCTATAAACAATTTTCTGGGTTACACAGCTCACTTGCTAGGCAAAAGGCATGATTTGTCCTTACTATGCCATCTTACTGGTTCAGAGTGACACATGGATGCTACATTGGTTGCAGGGTTAGGTTATTAGCATTTAAACAGGCCTTATGACCAGTACAGTGTCCCAGGGAGTCAGAGCTGAGTAAAACTTCCCCGATTTTAAAGCAGCTACTCATGGTTTGAAAGCTTAAATTTTAAAATCTTCCTGGTTTATGAGTTTTCTGTAGCAATAAATACCCAAAAGAAAGAGAAACTTGCAGCCAGGGTGAGAAATTAGGAAGGTTAGATAAAGCAAGCGAAGGAATCATGGTATTGAAATGATTTACCAAGTAGATTAATGGGTGCAGTTCTCACTGGACTGTGAAAATTTGATAGAACAAGCGTTCAAACATTACGATGAAGACCTAGCAGGATCAGCCACAATGAAGATGTGCAGTGGGTGGCTGTAGTTGGAGAGAAGACTTTCTGATTTCAGGATCTGTAAGGCAAAGCAGTGCCCATTGCTGATGAGGCAATTGTGATTTTGCTTGTGGGAAGTTTAATGGGCATGACCTAAAAGTATTTTAACTGTCAAATGTTATGTTGATTGAATGGCAAGTGTTAGAAAAGCCATTGACATGCATTTTGAAATCTGAAAAATAATGTCAAGGCGCAATGAGCCATGTGATGCAATCACGTATATGTTGTAGGAAATATTTAAGAAGTCATTCCATAACACCAAAAGAGAATGTCGTCAGAGGGAGATTTTATGAAACATGAAAAAGGAATTATTTTAAAAATATCACAGTTCAGCAGTGTTCTGGAAGTGGACCAAGAAGGATTCATTTTCTTCTTTCCTTCCCCCTTGGATTAGAAGGAGGCATAATGTGGGACTTGTTTTGTGGAGGCAAATAAGGCCTTTGTTAACTTAGGGGAAAAGAAAATTTATATATATATTTATAAAATTTATATATATGATAAACTTTGATTTACATATATATAAATTTATATATACATACCTATGGTAAACTTTATTAGGCACAGTAAAGAATTAATGGTAACAAATAATATAGAGGTATTATAATAATATACTGTAATAGAAGTTACCTGAATGTGATCTTTTTTCAAATATTTTACTGTACTGCACTCACTTATTTTCTTACTGCAGTTGACTCCAGGTAACTTAAACCACAGAAAATGAAACTCTGATATGGTGGGGACTACTATAGTAGCAGTCAGTGCATTCTTAGCTTCACTTGTTTCTTTTCAAGTCACAGGGCTTTTGCAAATGAGACATCGGAGATAAAAGGGTTTCTAATCTGACTGCCCAGCTTAGAAATATTTAAGCATTTTACTTCTGTTCACTTTATTATATTTTTAATATTTTTCCAAATTACTTCAGTCTTAGTAATGACCATAGCTGTCTAGTATTCTATTAAGTAGACATTCTCTCAAAAATATAGCTGCATAAAGATGTTTCTTATACCCTTATTGATCGTCATGAAAAAGTTGGAAACATACTAGCTATCTAATACATGATAAATTATGTATGGGTTATCAAATTTTAAGGTAGAATTGGAATACCTGAGTGACAGATTAGATGTGGAGGTTGCCGAAAAAGGGAGCCAACCCCAGATTTCTAAGTGAAATCTTAACATTTTCACTTTCTCATGGGTCCAAATGCTATGAGCATTTGTGTGTGTGTGTGTGTGTGTGTGTGTGTGTGTGTGTGTGTGTAAGACCCTTTAAGTAGTGCATTAAAAACCGCTAGACTGATTTTTAACACATGATCAC